ACACAGATGCCACAGCAATGGCATCTGATCTGTAGGGCTCTATTCAGGAGGGGATCTGTAAACAGATCATCTCATGTGAAAGGGGCCTTACTCTTTCTGAGACTGCTGCATTCTATACAATTTAATATACACTACATACACAGCGTAGTCTCCCTGTTGCTGTCTCAGTCTTTAACCAGCAAGTGAAAAAATCCGACCCCCCCCTCATATAGCTCAATACTTCCGCTGACTTTTGCCCTTTAACCTGCCAGGGTTAAAATCTATCTTAGCCATACACAGATTAGTCCCCCCTTTTTTCCTTCGTACCTTGTGATGTGCCTGACAACTGCACTGTAAAGTGTATAATGTTGGTTGATCAACCTGGAGCTTAAAGGTTGAAAGTTATCTTTTATACCATGTTTCATGTTACACCTATAGTCAAGGTGTAACATGAAACATGGTGACATCAATACCCCCCACTTAATTGAATTGCGGGGTTCTTCTCCGCGCAGACTGCTGATATTTTTCAAATCTAGGGCGGTGTGCGTGGCTTCGCCCACACCGCCGCGTTATTTTTTGACGGAGTATATGAATGGAGAAACTAGAAGTTCCATCAGCCACCACAGCAGAGGGACTTGCAGTTCATAATGGGAAACGAGTGCGGTGATGCCACTGCACTTGTAGTCTGACACTTCCTCCCGTCCCTGTTAGGCTCCGTTCACACCTAGGCGTCAGCATTTTTGTGTATATCGGCGCAAAACGATACCCAACATGCCCAGGTTACAAATTGCGTCCATCCGTAAAACGGCGAAAAACCCCAGTACCCCAAAAAGTCAGTTAAGGGGTTAAATCTTAAAAATGCATTCGAGTACCAAAAAAAAAAAAGTTTTTTGCTCCATAAGACGCACTTTTTCCCCCCAAAAGGAGGGGGAAAATGTGCCTGCGTCTTATAGAGCGAATACCTATCGCCCGACGCCCGGGACATGCAGTTTCGGGCGCCGGGCGAGTAGTTTCTTTTTGTACATTCAGCCTTGCT